CAGCCCACAGCTGCTGCACGGATCCAGGAACGGAGGGACGGCTGCCCACAGCCCACAGCTGCCACAGTGACCCGGGAACAGAGGGACGGCTTCCTGCTCCTAACAGCATCCCGTGGCTGGGACTCTTCCCACGTCACCCTGAGAGTCCAGATCACGTTCAATTGACTGCCTCGTCTAGGAGCCTCCCAGCCAGCCCAGGAGCACCCAGCCCATCCCCCAGCCTGGGCTCCACCTGGGGCTGGTCTGTCTCAGCCTTGAAGCTGCATTCAGCACCTGTGGGGAGACCCCGGCTCGTGGACAGGACCCTGCTGATGAGCCCTGATGGAGGAGAGGGAAGGATCCCACCAGGTAAGAGCTGCATGAGGGGGCCAGGAATAGGATCATTGTCAACTGATCCATTCATTAATTCCATATTTCCTGGGCTCCACTTATTTCTTTGTTCATCACTTCTGTAAATATTTATTAATAATGATGCCTAGCTCTGATTGGATGATGTGGTCAGCAGAATAATGGCTCCCAAAGATGTCCACCTGCTAATCCCTGGAAGCTGTGAATATGTTGCTATACAAGACAAAGAGGCTTTGCAGGTGTGATGAAGTTTAAGATCTTGAGACGGGCTATTCAGATGGGCCCAGTGTCATCCCTTGTAAAAGGGGAAGGGGAAGGATGAGAGTCAGAGAGAGATGTGAAAATGAACAGAGGTCAGAGAGGAGAGAAGATGCCACAAAACTGGCCTTGACATTGAGGAAGGGATGGGGAACCAAGAAATGCAGGTGGCTGCTGAACTCTGGAAAAGGTGAGGGAATAGGTTCTCCCCTGGAGCCTCCGGCAGGAACCAGTGTTGATTTTATAGCCCAGGGAGTCCCATTCCATCCTTCCAAACTCCAGAACTGTAGAAGGAAAGTGTTGCTGTTTTAAACCACAGACACTGGGGTGATTTGTTACAGCAGCGGAAAATAGCACAGGCAAGGACTAATCACATTGCTTCCTTCTAAATTCCTGCGATAAGCTCAGGGCTATCTTTTCCATTCCACATAAAAGGAAATTGAGGCAGAGGGACCACAGATAAGCCGCCTGAGTTGGCGCACGTGGTGGTGATGGATGAACCCTTCTTAGTGCCAGGCCTCTGAGCCCAAGTTAAGTCATCATATCCCCAGTGACCTGCACGTATACATCCAGATGGCCTGAAGCAATTGAAGATCCACAGAAGTGAAAATAGCCTTAACTGATGAAATTCCACCATTGTGATTTATTTCTGCCCCACCCTAACTGATCAATGTACTTTGTAACCTCCCCTACCCTTAACAAGGTTCCTTGTAATTCTCCCCACCCTTGAGAATGTACTTTGTGAGATCCACCCCCTGCCCCCAAAATGTTGCTCCTACCTCCACCGCCTATCCCAAAACCTATAAGAACTAATGATAATCCACCACCCTTTGCTGACTCCTTTTTCGGACTCAGCCCGCTTGCACCCAGGTGAAATAAACAGCCATGTTGCTCACACAAAGCCTGTTTGGTGATCTCTTCACATGGACACCTGAAAAACTTAGGAGAAGGAGGAACAAGAGCTAGTAATTTATGGGATCTGGAGAAGGGAAGGAGGTCAAGGTGGAGACCCACTTCCTGGTTCTGGTTTTAAGAGATGCAGCCTCTGTGTCATTAGGGGGATCCCAGGAGGAGAAGTGGGTTTGGAGAGGAAGATGGGTGGCTCAGGTTTGGCCATGCTGAGCAGAGCAGCCCTGGAGGCCACTTTTGGGGGTGTGTCCAGTGGGATGTTAGAGGGTGAGACTCCGAGGACACTCACCGGCGAGATGAACTTTGGACGGTGTCTGCAGCCTCCATGCCTGCTGATGTTGCTGCCTTCCTCCTGTGGGACCTGACACTGAGTCAAGAGACCACGGCCCATCAGTGTGCCCGGATCCCAGTGCAGAGGGCAGCAGACTCACCTCCCTGTGCCCTGCTAAGGGACTGAGATGGAGAGAGCAGGTTTAGCCCACCTCCACAGTGATAGCAGGAACCTCTCACCCCGGACTGTTGACCAGCATCAGGCATGGATAACCATTGGCCCCTGTGGAATTTTCACCACAGCTCAGCCTCTGCTGACCCCAGGCCCTCTTGATTCATTCAGGTCCCCCCAGCACAGGGATCCAGAATTCAGCATCATGGCCCCTGCTCTTCCCACACCTCCCCTTAGTCTCTGGGACAACTCTCACCTGAGGAGGATGAGGCAGAGGCAGAGAATCAGGATCTTTGCAGCTGCCTCACCCACGGCCACCAGAACCACCACCACCACGGGCCCTGATTTCCCGGCAGAAAAGTGGGATGAGACGGATTCACCTGCTAAACCAAGCTCCCTTGTCTTCCCATGGCAGAAGGAATTGGACATTGGTTCTCCAGGTCCTTCCTGTATCACTGGATGTGGGGCCACATGAGCCCAGGGCTCATCACACCACCTTCTAAGACTGTCCAACCATAAGCAGGGGCTCTTGGCCCCAGGGCATTTCTGGCTCACTGCTGAGCTGAGGACACTCCTAATCCTCCCAGTTTGGAGTTGTTCTCTGTTCAAGGAAAGGATCTGCAGCAGGTCCAGGCTGTAGTGTAAGAAGCTTTACAACTTGGGGTTTATAACTCAAGATGAAATTGTACTTGAAGTGTGTGGAACAATTAAGAATGTCGGTGCACCCCAGAGTGAAGACCCCTACGACTTTTGTTGCAAAGCCATGCTCTGTTTTTCAGAACATGGCGGATCTCTTGAGAAAGAGCTTCCGACTTGTTACCAGGCCTTGGTAGATGCTGATACCCTGACTATGGGATATGAAATGAATACACGATACAAACTGCTCATCATGAAGTAGGTGCTCTGTGACCCACCAAGCTAAAAAGTTGGGCATGTGAAGAAGTAATTCATTAAAAAGTGAATTTGGATATAACAGACTTCAAGATGGGCTTCAAGAGGTCGAGAAATCACAACCAAGTGATATGAGCAGGTGGCCCAGATTCCTACAACTCCTCCTGTGTATAGTGTCTTATTTTTTCATGAAATCACACCTGTGGCCTCATGGGCAGTTCTTTATGTCCCTTGCTTGAGGAGGAAAACATTTCATCTTGGTTTTCAAGTGGTTCTGCTCAATCAGCGGACACAGCAAGGAGTGGACTTCGCATCATGCGTGACAAACTCAGCTACAGTGAACCTGAAAGCTGGGCTGAAGGAACTCCCCCTAGTGGCAGAATTTCATAAATACATTTGGCTTTTCATTTATTTGAGACTGAGAGGTGGAAGGACAGATAGAAACTGAACCATGCCTTTTCATCTTGGGGCGGATTGGAGCTATTTACATTTTGCAAATCTGTTCTTCCAGTCAGTTATTTGTCACTAACTTTTATAATGTTTTTCACCATGCAGAGCATTTTAAACCCATCTGGTTGCTGAGTTCCATGTCATTCTTCTGTCTTTCTTCATTCTATGATTGTAAAAATGTCTGTCTAATATGTGCTTTGACAAATTTTAAAAAAATGAAAGAAAAGAAACTGAACCATGCCTGTAGGATTGGGTAACACATTTGTTCCTAGAAATTTGTCCATTTTATATAAATATTCAAAGCTTTTCATACAGCTTACTACTTTCTGCTTAATTTGTATTAGATTAATGTTTTCTTCCTTATATTCCTGCATACTTATTTTTGCCTTCTATATTTCTGGATTAATTGCAACTGAGGTTTGCCCATTTTATTATTTGTATCAAAGAACTAGCAGTTCGTGACATTGTCCCTTTCTACTGAATATGTTTTCTATGGTATGTGCTCTTATCATTTGATATTTCCTTCCCTCCAATTCCTTTTGGTTTTGTTGTTCTTTTTCTAAATTCTTGAAATTAAAGCTTAGTTTATTAAATTTTAGCTTTTCCCATCTCTAGCATATAAGGTTATATATATTTCCTCTAATAAATGCTTTATTTTTACTCTAAAAGTTTCATAGTATTTTCAGTATCCAGTTTTAAATAATTTCTTATTTGTGTTATGATGATAATGATGATGATTTTTTTTTTTAGGATGGAGTCTCACTCTGTTACCCAGGCTGGAGTGCAGTGGCTTCCAGATTCAAGCAATTCTCCTGCTTCAGCCTGCTGAAGTACCTGGGATTACAAGCAAGCACCACCACACCCAGCTAATTTTTGTATTTTTAGTAGAGATGAGGTTTCACCATGTTGGCCAGACTGGTCTCGAACTCCTGACCTCCAGTGATCCACCCCCCTCAGCCTCCCAAAGTGCTGGGATTACAGGTGTGAGCCACCGCTAACTGTGGTCTTCTAAGTGTAATCTGTCTTTTTATTTTTTGTGGCTACTCTTAAGAATTTTCCTTAATAGTTGGTCTTCATTAGTTTTCTTCAATTTCACTGAAAGAGTGGAGACTGGGATTTGTAAGAGGAAGTTGCTGAAATGGACATGGGGTATTGGTGACTGGTGAGGAATTGAGTTGGGGAAATCTGGATGGGGAAGGTCATGTAGACAGCCTTGAGCAGAAAGATGATGGATGGAAACTTTATTTTGGGGAGTCATGAAGACTTCTGAACAGGGAGTGACACAGATACCTGGTGCTGTGGCCGCTGGGCCTGCTCCTTTTTAGCCTTAGGAGAAATTGCCAGCAGAAACTGTTTATTAAAACCGCTAACCAGGCCAGGCATGGTGGCTCACGCCTGTAATCCCAGCACTTTGGGAGGCCGAGGTGGGCAGATCACGAGGTCAGGAGATCGAGACCATCCTGGCTAACATGGTGAAACCCTGTCTCTACTAAAAACTCAAAAAATTAGCCGGGCATGGTGGTGGGCACCTGTAGTCCCAGCTACTTGGGAGGCTGAGGCAGGAGAATGGCGTGAACCCAGGGGGCGAAGCTTGTAGTGAGCTGAGATTGCACCACTGCACTCCAGCCTGGGTGACACAGCAAGACTCTGTCTCAAAACAAACAAACAAACAAACAACAACAACAAAAAACAGCTAACCAAAGCCAGATACAAGGCATTTATTTACAATAGTATACAGACTTTATGAAAAACTTTGTGTCAGGGCCTTTGTTAGCTGTTTTACAGCTGACAAAGCTGTATGTTAGCTGTATGCTTTCTTTGACCTTTCACAATAATCTGGTTAGACAGAAATTATTTCCCTGCCTTACAGAGCAGGGAGATAAAGTGACTTGCTCAGTAACTGGCATAGATAGAGTTGAACTCAGTTCTCTTGGACAGAAGTCCTGTGATCTGCCATATATACTAAGGAATTTATATAGTCCATTGACAACAAAAATATTAATTTTTAAAAAAATTGGACACAGTGCTATGGGCTAAAATTCATATGTTGGAAGTCTTAAATCTCAATATCTCAGAAGGTTACTGTATTTGGAGGGTCTTTAAATAGTTAATTTATTTAAATTAGGTCATAGAGAAGCCCTAATCCCATATGACTAGTGTCTTTATAAGAAGAGAAGATTAGGACATAAACACACTCAGAGGTAAGACCATGTGAAGACACAAGAGAGGCCTTAAAAGGAACCAACCCTGATAACACCTTGTTCTCAGACCTCTAACATCTAAAGCTATAAGAAAATAAAGTTCTGTGTTTACGTCACTCAGTCTGTGGTATGTTGCTGCGGCAGCCCTAGTAACCAATACACTGAGAGGTACCATGTGGTCTCCAATCAAGGTTATGGCTTTGGACAATTCCTCACTTGCGTATCTTGATTTCTGCGTATTCAGTGTTGGTGACCTCTGGTTCCTGAAGCTGCACCTTATGGAAGCGTAGGAAAGCATAGTGGAGCTCCTGCTCATCTCCTGAGATGGGGTCAGCCTCAGCAGGGTGGTCTGAAACTATGCTTCTCTGGAACTGGTGCTGATGACCCTGAATGGAAGAAAAGAAAAGATTCAGGGCTGGACAATAGGTTCTCAAAGACAGCAGCCAAGGATCAGAAAAGAGTAGAATTGATGGAACTTGATTATTTATCCATTCATGTATTATTTTATTTTATTTTTGAGATGGGGTCTCGCTCTGTTGTCCAGGCTGGAGGGCAGTGGCATGATCACGGCTCAGGCAGCCTCGAACACCTGGGTTCGAAGGATCCTCCTGCTTCAGCCTCCCGTGTAGCTGGGACTACAGGCATGCACCACACCTGGCTAATCTTTGTAGAGATGGGGTTTCACCATGTTGCCCAGGCTGGTCTTGAACCCCTGGGCTCAAGGAATTCACCCACGTTGGCTTCCCAAAGTGCTGGGATTACAAGCATGAGCCACCATGTCCACCACATTCATTTATTTTTAAATATTTAATAATTAAGATTGGCCAGCCCTTAGTGAGTGTTTACATTAATCGGTCATATTCTATTCTCAAAAAAATGCTTTGGAGTGGATTCCATGATGACATTCATCTTACAAACAGGAACACTGAGGCTAAGAGAGGCTCCACATATTGCCTAAAGACACACATCTACACACATGCACCACTGAGCAGGACTCAGAACCAGCTGATTGTGTGGGTCATGTGACATGTGCTATACGTTAAGCCATGAAGAAAGCAGACACGGTCCCAGATAGTAGGCAGTGTGGTTTCCTATGAGATGAAGTTAGTTAAAAACAGGAAACAAAATCACATTTTTAATTCATGATAGCAGATATTTTGAAATATAAAACAGGGGCAGGAGTGACATATCTGGTTCCTAGACAGGTACTGGAGGACAGGGCAGAGACTGGGTCCTGCAGAACAGGCCACCGGACACCGTCTCCTATATCTTCTCTTTCTAACACCCCTGAAAACTTGAAAGTAAAGCATGGTAAAGAAATTATGTAATGATTCCCAACAAGGTGGGGATTTAACACACACTAAGTGTGTTGTTCCTCCAAATAAACCAAGAGGCAATACAAGAAATTATGGAATGAGCAAATAAGAAAAAGTGGGAAATCTCTGGGGAAACAAAATATTTTATAGTGGGGTGTGTGTGTGTGTGTGTGTGTGTTCAGGGAGGCATTGGTGACAGTGGGTGAATGGTTACAGAAATGAGATTTATCTTCTGCTCATGTCTTTCCTCTATCATTGGGATAATATTTTCCTGCCTGCATTCTTGCTACACAAATCAGTGGCAAAGTCCGAGACTAAAAGTGTGAATTTCTATAGGAGAAATGACAGATCAGCACAAAACCCTACTGAATGAAGAAAAGAATAGGTGGAAATTGCCTCTCCCTGGGCTTCCCCTTGCCACCTTCCCCCGTCCACACATCCCAGATTTTTGGAAGACAGTCTAGCTATTACCTCCCCTAGCACCAGTTTTTCCTGAGGGTCTGAACAACAGGAATTATGACTTGAATTATTCTTGGTCAGTTCTCATTCAGGCTATGGTAGAGTAACTGGTACCTGCCCAGCATAATTAGAAAACTATACATAGTATGTGAAATAAGTGTTTTACAAGGAAAACAGGCAGCCCAGGACTGTAACATCTGAAAGAAAGGAAACCAATGAGGTGAGTCCCATGATCAAATGACAATTTCCAAACTGCAGTATGTGGAGGATAAATCCAAGAGGAACCCAAGAATCTTATGAAACTGGAGGCAGCAACTGCAGTTCAAGTGGGAATAGTGTGGGTGGAATTTATAGAGCAGAGTACAGAGAGAAACAACTACACAGGGAAAGAACTCCAGAAAGTATGCATAGAGGTCCCCTTGAATCTTTGGCTGAATACTAAGCTGTGTGCACACAGTGAAAGGCTGAAAGCCTGGGTACATGCTGCTGGAGAAGGAACAGCTATGAGAAAGCTGGAATGAAGGCAAATAGAAAGTCACCCGACCAAAGCTTTTATAAAAATCTTTGAATGGGCCAAGACGATCTACTAATAAATTAACTGCATTCGAGAACAAAGCTCCACAATTTTTAAAGGAAGATTAAAATATCCAGATAATCAACAATATAACACAATGTCTAGTATGCCACCAAAATCGCTACCCATGCAAAGAAGCTGTGGAATGTAAGCAATGAAAAGTATATCGGTAAATAGAAACATATCGGCCGGGCACGGTGGCTCAAGCCTGTAATCCCAGCACTTTGGGAGGCTGAGACGGGCGGATCATGAGGTCAGGAGATCAGGACCGTCCTGGCTAACACGGTGAAACCCCGTCTCTACTAAAAAATACAAAAAACTAGCCGGGCGAGGTGGCGGGCGCCTGTAGTCCCAGCTACTCCAGAGTCTGAGGCAGGAGAATGGCGTAAACCCGGGAGGCGGAGCTTGCAGTAAGCTGAGATCCGGCCACTGCACTCCAGCCTGGGCGACAGAGCGAGACTCTGTCTCAAAAAAAAAAAAAAAAAAAAAAAAAAGGTTGTAATATTTTAAAACTACCAAAAAGGCAAAAAAGGGTGATAAATATAAAAGGACAAATATAAATGTAAAGCAAAGAGCAATCTGGTAGAATTAAACTGAGCCAAATAAATAATCACATTAAATATAAATGGTCTAAACACTCCAGTTAAAAGGAAGATATTGGCAGACTTGATAAAATAGGTAGAATAAATGTTGTGCTATCTGTAACACAGACACAATACATATGAAGGCACAAATGTGTTAAAAATAAGAGGAGAGAAAACACATAACAAATAAGCACTAATATTAAGAACACTAGAGTGGCAATATTAAATCAGACAGTGTATTTTAGGAAAAGAAATATTACCAGAAATAAAGACATTTCATAATGATAAACAAGCCAATTCATTAAAAGACATAAAAATCCTAAGTGCATATGCAACCAATCACAGAACATGATTTAACAAATAAATTGTAAAAGTAAGCAGACAGAAAATCACTAAGGATATAGAAGGCTTGAACACTAGTGTAAAATAACTTGACCTAATTGACATTTGTAGATTACTACATCCAGTATCTTCAGAAAACACATTCTTTGCAATCGCACATGTAACATTCACCATGGTAGACTGATATTTCATGTACTTGTACTACCAGTGACTGAGATAAGAGTTTTTTAAAAATTGACTATAGAGTGTGCACCACTCTAATGGAGAGGAGATAGAATAGCAAGTAGACATTAGCTCTCCAACTAGACTGTCCAGAAGGACACGTTGAGATTCATCAAGGAAGCAACATGACCCAGAGTGCAGAGAAGAATGAGACAAGGCTGCTCTGGACCTAGGATTGGCATGGAGCCAAGGGAGGCTCCCCACCGCAGGGAAACAGTGAATGAGTGACAGCCCGCAAGGACCCACACTTCTGCCATGGACCTTTGTAATCCTGGGCATGAGAGATCCCCCTGAGGCCTCCAGACTGACATGGAGAGCTGTGTGGAGACTGGGCAGAGCCACTGCTCAGGCCTATGTGGAGTCCCAAGGGCCTTGGACCTATGAGCACCTGGGCACCAGTATCATAGCTCCACCACCAAGAGAGGCCAGGCTGTCTCACACGCCCTCAGGGTAGAGACCACATTTATGGGGCTGAGGAGCAGATGGTTTGCAGACCTCACCTCTGCTACAACTTGCCAGACAAAGTTCACTGGCCTGGGACCCCAGCACAGCCACCCCACCCCTGCCTGAGCACTTGGGCCAGTAGCAGCTCTCCATTTCTCTGGGACAGGGCTCCCAGAGGTAACAGACAAGCCTGCTGTTTTTTTCTGCCTCCACAGGTCCCACTCCTACTCCCCTGAGGCTGGAGAAGGAGAAAAGAGCATAAGAGCTATCACTGGCCCTGCTTTATGGAACACACTGGAACTGCTTTATGGAAAAGCAGCCAGACTATTTCAGTGTGGGTCCCTGTCCCATTATTCCTCACTGAGAAGGACCTCCTGACCCGGGCCCCCAGCACAGCTGCCCTGCCCCCACCTGAGTTGGTGGCAGTTATGTGTTTCTCTGGGGAGGATATCCCAGGTTCAACCCACAGCCTCTTTGCCATTGCCACTGCAGTGGTACTGCCCTTGATGCCTTCAGGCTGGGAAAATAATAAAGACCTTGATCACTTTGCTGGCACCTCCAACACACTGCAACCACCATACAGAAAGGAGCCCAGACTCGCTTCCCTGTGGGCCTCCTACTCTCCGCTCTTCACCAGGCAGGGCCTCTGGCTGGGGCCTGCAGCACAGTGGCCCCACCTCTAGATGAACGTTCCCATTGGCTCTGTGTCTTTCTGGGGTGGAGGTCTCAGAGCAGCTGGCAGCCCCTCTGCCATTGCTGCTGCAGCCATACTGCTCTCGCTGCTCTCAGGCTGGGGAAGGAACAAAGAGCCTGATTTATTTGGTGGAACCTCCAGCATGCCACAGCACTACAGAGAGGAGCCCAGTCTCTCTTCCCTGTGAGCCTCCAACCATTACTCTTCGCCGGGTAAGTCCACCTGCTTGGGCTCACAGCACAGTTTCTTCAACCAGGAGTGATTATTCCAATTGGCAGCAGCTCTGCATTCCTCTAGGATGAAGCCCCAAGAAACAAGGAAAAAGCCCTCTATCATTGGCACTTCCAAGGTCCCTGGGCCTGCTGCTCCAAGCTGGGAGGAAACAAAATGCCTGGGCTCACCAAAGGGCTGTAGTGTGCAGCCCAAGAGTGCCAAGTCAAGATCTGTAGCCAGCACTTGAGTGAGAGAGGAGCCCACACTCTCAGAGCACTGGGAGGGAGCATGGCTGCAAATGTGAGGAAATACAGAGGATTCACGTGGCTGAACAAGAGCCTACCTGCCAGCCATTATGCTTAAGCACCATGTGTTGGATCACATCCAAACTTCAACATCAGAAATACTTTGCTAATATACCCCACTGTGAAACTAAGGACAAGAATTTAGCAACAAATAAAGACCCTGCGCAAAGCTTTGGCCTTCTGAAAACATCCAGAAACAAAGACAACTGACTGTATTCAAATTACAGCACAAT